CGGAAAGCCAAAAGAAGACATGTATGACTGATCCCTTCAAGGTCTTCCTTATCGACCTGGAGACCCCGCCCCCGAGTCGCCAGCATGGCAAACGTCAAGCACCCCGCGCTGTAATGGAATGGACCCTTACGTTAGCCTCTGAACGGGAAATTACTTTGCCCCCACTGCACTGACCACTGGGCCCTCACCCGGAAAAGGTAAGCTTGTCTTCGGTTTTCAGTACAGTTGTCCAAAACGGGGCCGACACTGAAAAAGGCCGCCAAAAACGAGGACGTCCATCCTTACCCGAATCAACATGTGAAAAGAATAACACCAGCAAATCCTGAGCATGCGTACTTGCAATCTTAGAAGCGAGAACAGCGATGACCGGGGTTGCGGTTTTCTTTAAACCGAGCGGCATCGGACACAGCATCTAGCACAGGACGACGGGCGCCTGGTGCGCGAGAACGGCCGTCATGAAACAACGTTTCCGAAAGTCTTTTTGAATCAATCCTTACCGTTCAAACTACTCTCTCTGTGGATTAACAGGGCCAGCAATCCAAATACAGAGATTGTACCTTAGCTCGTCTATTTTCCTGGTCAAATTTTGGCACCTGTTTGACGCGCTGTGAACGATCGTGAATCCTGCTTATGCGTCTAAGAGAATGTCTAAGTGAAACAAGCTCACGGGTTAATTTCTAAACGTACGAATTGACATCCTCAATCGTTCAAGATACCGTTGCGGAAAAATATCGTTTTGATCCACCCGCTGAGCTGCGCCTATTGTCAGCCGCGGGACCAACAGCGCGCGCCCTGCTGAGACTGCAGCGCAGGGCATCATGGTTTCTGCTCTGCTTGCGAGTGCGCATGGTCAAAGGCATGCGATGTACTTCTTTCACAGCTGGATTCTGGAAAAGGGTCGTAGATACGCAGACACGCAGTAATTGGGCATGTCCAAGCAAATCTATAACCCCATGTTGATCTACAATCTACGTTAACCATTATGTACGTTCACAATGTGTCGGTCAACACAGCAACATTCCGGCAACGTCCCGGAATGTTATCATTCAGAAAGAGTCCACTGAGCAATTACAAAATGAATAGCGAAAGTGGATTTTTCTATGTTATCGTTCAAGGCCTGGCTTCTTTAGGTTATTGACTTCAAAGCACTAACAGGATGTCATCTTTCGGTATCTCCTGGCTTTTTCTAGCAAAAAGGGTACATATTAAAATAAAGCGGTGTAAATCGCACCCTTGAAATCAAGTGAGTCATATTTGGTTATGCTTCGGGTGGGGGTCGTTCACCAGGGGGGGCTCTTTGTCAGTGCTGTGCCCCTCCCCCTTACCAAGGATTCTAGCTGCGCATCTGCGTGGGTGAGCTCGTTGTGCACCCAGTATGAGTACATCAGTATGATCGCGTGTGGCCGCTGAAGAGCCAGCTTAACTAGCAACGCTTTTATGCTCGACCTGCGCTGCGCAGGACATTGACGTTACGGGGCTTCATTTGCCATGCATTCGAAATGAAGCGGGTCAAGGTCGCTTCCCTTCAGAGGTGCGAAGGTTCGGAACAGCGTCCCCAGAAACACAGCAGGCTTGCAAAGCGTATGTAATGAAATGAGCCCAGAAGAGCATTCTCAACAGGAGGGCATCTACTTAAGTTATTCTGGGAAAGTTTGAGGACCATTTTCGTAACTGGCGCATGGAAAAGCACCTGTTTTGTTTTACCTCAACCGAAATGCACGTGCTTTATCGACAGACTTGTCTGTCGAGAACCTGCGTGTAAACTAGTTGTGAAATCCACGTATGTTAAGAACACTGCCCTTGTTAATGCATAGATAAGTGACCAAATCACACACCGATAATGGTAAATTATGCGCAGATTTCAATTTCTAATATTCAAGAGAGGTGGAAATTCACACTTCAAGTTTCACAAAAGCTGATGCCGACTGCAACACTTCCAGATGTGATTCCGGTGACCATTTATATATATATATATATATATATATATATATATATATATACATACATATATATATATATATATATATATATAAAACTCTACTATATATATAATAAAATATACTATATAATATATAAACTATATATACTATATACAATAATATAATATATAAACTAAATATATATATATATATATATATATATATATATATATACTAGCAAAAAGGGTACATATTAAAATAAAGCGGTGTAAATCGCACCCTTGAAATCAAGTGAGTCATATTTGGTTATGTTTCGGGTGGGGGTCGTTCACCAGGAGGGGCTCTTTGTCAGTGCTGTGCCCCTCCCCCTTACCAAGGATTCTAGCTGCGCATCTGCGTGGGTGAGCTCGTTGCCAAAGATAATATAGACTCTGGTCCCAAAATAATTTTGAGACATAGACACACATGCAACAAATACACTTACAACTGTTTGAAAAAAACATGCGTTGAGTTTTATCTGGCCCATCTTGTACTTTTAAAAGCTGGCACATACCGCAGTCAATTACTGTTTGTCCCAATCAAGACACTATCCTTTGAAAACTTCTCAACCATTTGTACCCTGACCTTACATATGAAGGAGTTAGCATGACAATAACACTAGGCACCTACTGGACTCGACTGGATACAAAACTTACCTTATAGTTAGTGATGTGTCACGGTATATGCTACCTAACATACAAAAAGTTCAGGCAATTGTTCTGTATGTATTTGGCCCAGTACTCCCTCTGCTCACAAGCACTGAGGGGGAGTCAGAGGAGCACTGGGGGAAGAAGCTCAGAACAGCATTAGGGGGGCTCGGGCCCCTCCGCACGTATGTTAAGTGACGCCCCTAATCAAACGACACATGCAGGGCACTTTTCGAACCACATGAATTATACACCAAAACACGCATAGTAGACGAAACACGATCATCTTACACCCAAGTATTACATCTGGCCACTTTCCCACTGTCCATCGCGATAGAACTATTCACCTTTTACTGTCAAACCGGACGCGCGCGTCAGTGCAGACATTCAAGATGGATGATGGCCACACCTTCCACACCTCAGATACCGCGTTCTGACAATCGCATGCTGGTTTTCTGCCAACCGAACGGCACACACACGATACAGCAGCGCAACGTTCCCCTTACCAGCGAGTCAACTCATTGCCTCAGCGGCGCAGCGCTGTGTCCAGCGTCCGTATGTGACAGCCGACCGCGCTCACACCGCGCCACGAGCGGCCGCTCTTCGAACGCGTCCTCTCGCCGCCCGCTAGTCCACCTGCTCCGCGCCGTCTTCGGCGGCGACGGTGGCCGCGCTGGAGTCGTCGGCAAGCGCGTCCATCTCGGCGATGAGCCAGCGCTGGTGGTCCAGCTCGCGGCACAGCTGGCGGTAGCGTTGCGCCAGCGCCGTGAACTGCTGGCCGGCCGTCTGGTAGGCGGCCAGCTGCTGCTTGGCGGCGCTCAGCCGGCCGTCCAGGCGCGCGCTGTCGGCGCGCACGTGGCGCGCTGCGGAGCGGAGCGCTGCCAGGCACGGCTCGGTGTACGTCTCGCACTGGATCTGCAGCGTCAGCAGCCTGCCGGCGAGGGAAGGCGCGGTCAGGCGCCACCGGCCGCCGGCTGACACCGTTCGCGGTCAGGTCTGCGGTCCGCCTACTCGGAGTACATCAGACTCGTCACTCGCAGTACATCAGACTTGTATGCGCCGAGCGGGGTATTGGTCGGCTGAGAGGACAGCGCACCGCACGTGCACACTAGAGGACACTGCACGCACGGGCTGCGTTAGTCAGGAGCGGGGGCGAAGTTTGTAAAGCTTACACGCAGATGTGTGCGCAGTTATGCGTCACAAAATCTAACATCAGTACGCGTTTTCTGGTGCAGCAATGCACGCTTCACGAGCCATCATTGTTCAATGCAGGGACTTTAGTAAAAACTCCAAAATTGACTAACAGCATATGACCAATTCAACCCAGCACTGACAACCTCACATTCTATGACAGCAGCAAGATAGCTTCAAAAAGGGATTGTACAGCTAAATGTGTCAGGCCACTGTAAACGTCTGGCCACACGCTACCTAATTTTCAGCAGTATTCCTTGTATGTTGCTGGACAAATGGTCAATGGTTTTTCTCTCAAGATCCACCTTGTGTTCCAGCTTGTGTTTGTTTACCTGGAAATGGGACAGCTATGCTAATTACGATGCAAAAAACATAAACACACACACACACACACACACACACACACACACACGCGCGCGCGCGCGCACGCACGCGCGCGCGCACGCACGCACGCACGCACGCACGCACGCACGCACGTACGCACGCACGCACGCACACTGCCGCACATTTCATTTTATTCTTCCATGAGGACATGACACCAAATTTGTACCGTCTGCCGTTCTCCTGATGCCCGCTATATTTTTCGTACCCAAACGAGACGGAGGTTGCGCAAGTGATCGTCGACAGCATGCCTGAATGTGAGGAACGGGAAAACATCACCGCAACGCAGTTAAGCGGAAAGATTGGCAGCACACCGCCAGGAATGTCCTTGTATATAGCAAATATTGTACAATCACAGGGCCGTGACAAGTTTTACGGATCTCCATCAACAATACGCTCGTTACCCGCCGCGCGGTTATTGATAAACACAGACCCCTCTGTCATCCACGGCATGCGTCATGACTACGCATCGTCAAAGACACGCTTGCCATTGTCCTTGCCAAATGCACGCACTACCGTCCCGTAACCCCACCTGGACTACGGACTATCCCGTCGGCTTGCGACGATCGGCCTGCTCTCCACAGACTAGCCCGTTCGTGTTACTATCGCCCATCCCGCCCAGCACCAAGCTCTTGACGGGAGCAGCTGGGAACGCCCTCGGCCCGTCTGCCACGCACCAGCTTGAGCAGCATGGTCAGCTGCGCGCCCATCAGCTGGCTCTGGCGCAGCAGCTGGGCGTCGCGCCGCTCCAGCAGCTGGTCCAGCCGGCGCTGCGAGTCGTCGCGCGCGCGCAGCAGCTCCTCCAGCTGGGCGGGCAGCTGGGTCAGCCGCTCCGGGTCCGGCTCCGCGTCTGGTGGCACCGGGGACGGCTCAGGTCGGGCCAAGCGCCGTCGACTCCGCAACGCCTGCAGAGGTGCGGCGTGCGGCGTCGACGAACGACGCGTGGACCGACAGGTGTCGACCGGTCGGGTCGCTCACTGACCGCGCGGGAGGCGGTTGAGGTACTGTAGAAAAATTCGGAGTCTCTCGGCCAAACGGTGGGTAGCACTCCTCTCAGGGTCGACACGTTCGTTGGTTAAGCTCATGCCAAAGATGTAGATGGTACATCGTCATTGACTCTACGAAGAAGTCGACAATGTGCTCCCCGCATAACCCGCACAATAGATATCTAAGCCAGGCGCAACAACGCTTTCCGGCGGCCTAGCTCTTCAACCAGCGCCTGAGATCTCCAATCTTGACTTCACTCGCCACCTCACAAATCGCCCGTGCCCCCCCCCCCCCCTCCCCCCCCCCCCCCGCCGCCGCTGTGGCCGCCCAGGCGCACCTTGATGCTCCTGCTGGAGGAGCGGAGCGCATCGGAGCGCCAGCCGCGCCAGCTGCTGGTCCAGCGCGCGCGGCAGCCGGCCCAGTGTCTGACGGTGCTCGGCCGACGGCGCCAGCTCGTCCTCTGTCAGCTCGAGCAGAGCGTGCTCGCGGGCGCGGCCGTCGGCGGCCGGCGCCGCCAGCGGCAGCGCGTCGTGGAGCTCGGCCAGCGAGAGGCCTTCCCGCACAGCCTCACGCAGCTGGCGATGCCGATCAGGCCGGGTCAACGACGGCAGTCTAGCTGCGGTTTAATGCAGCGACAGATTCAGTGAGGGATCGGAGTAGGATAAGAAACTAATGCTCAGTAAACACGCTGCGCTGAAAACCGCTGGGGCCAAGACGTTGAACAGCTCGAAAGTGTTTATAATTATTACTAAAACAAGTACACACAAGAAACTGCCGTGATGGATATTCGGAACACTCACGCAGCCTGCATGAGCCACACTGCACCATGGTCGGCGCGCCTCTTGACCTCACTTGTGGCCGTCACCTCCTTTATCTCATACGATGGTCGCCGGTCGCTGTGTTGGGTGCTCCCCGATTTCCCCCGATGGCCGGTGTGAGACCGATCTTCCCTCTCAATCTTACCCGGTCGTCGGTGTGGTCAGGGCCCCTGATGGTCGGTGTGGTCAGGGCCCCCTGATGGTCGGTGTGGTCAGGGCCCCTGATGGTCGGTGTGGTCAGGGCCCCCTGATGGTCGGTGTGGTCAGGGTCCCCTGATGGTCGGTGTGGTCAGGGTCCCCTGATGGTCGGTGTGGTCAGGGCCCCTGATGGTCGGCGTGGTCAGGGCCCCTGATGGTCGGTGTGGTCAGGGCCCCTGATGGTCGGCGTGGTCAGGGCCCCCTGATGGTCGGCGTGGTCAGGGCCCCTGATGGTCGGTGTGGTCAGGGCCCCTGATGGTCGGTGTGGTCAGGGCCCCCTGATGGTCGGCGTGGTCAGGGCCCCCTGATGGTCGGTGTGGTCAGGGCCCCCTGATGGTCGGTGTGGTCAGGGCCCCCTGATGGTCGGTGTGGTCAGGGCCCCCTGATGGTCGGTGTGGTCAGGGCCCCCTGATGGTCGGTGTGGTCAGGGCCCCCTGATGGTCGGCGTGGTCAGGGCCCCCTGATGGTCGGTGTGGTCAGGGCCCCCTGATGGTCGGTGTGGTCAGGGCCCCCTGATGGTCGGTGTGGTCAGGGCCCCCTGATGGTCGGTGTGGTCAGTTTTCGCCACCCCTCACCTGGTGATCGGTGTGGTCAGTTCTGCTCTCACCTGGTGGTCGGTGTGGTCAGCTCTCCCCACCCCTCACCTGGTGATCGGTGGGATCAGTTCTCCCCTCACCTGGTGATCGGTGTGATCAGTTCTCCCCTCACCTGGTGGTCGGTGTGGTCAATTATCCTCTCACCTGGTGATCGGTGTGGTTAGTTCCCCCCCCCCCCCCCTCTGGTGATCGGTGGGATCAGTTCTCCCCTCACCTGGTGATCGGTGTGGTCAATTATCCTCTCACCTGGTGATCGGTGTGGTTAGTTCCCCCCCCCCTCTGGTGATCGGTGTGATCAGTTCTCCCCTCACCTGGTGATCGGTGTGGTCAGTTCTCCCCTCACCTGGTGGTCGGTGTGGTCGCCAGCCGCCGACAGTCCGGTCGCCATCTCTTCCAGCAGGGTGTGTAGCAGGCGCGTGGCGTGGTAGCCATGCAGCTGCTGCGCCAGCCGCCTCTGCTCCGTCTGCAGCTCGGAAGCCACGCTGTCGAACCAGGGGACGGAGAGCTGAGAGAGGCACAGGGCACGCACGGCACCTGAGACTCGACGTTTTCGTGTTCGTTGCGTGTTCTTATAAATACCGGGCGTATAAATCTGACGTCCGAAACTACTAGACTTGAGTCCAATTGCTGGTATGTGTGGTGAGAGTAAGTTTTGAAAATGACACTGTTCGCACCTAAAGATTTGCACAATGACGCACAGCACGAACGTGAAAATCACAGTTCCCTCCGCGTAGCTGCCTCTGCCTCGAATGTGGGGGTCAGTCGAGGCGCGAATGCCGGAGATGCCACACGCGAGGAGGTCACCTTCGCCTGCATTGAAGCGGGCCGAGGGCCGGTGTGGCGCCCACCTGCGAGAGACACCCGTCTCGTCCACGTGTCTGGCCAGGCTGAGCAGGAGGCGGGCCAGTTCCGGCGTGTCCCGCGCGTCAGCGCGCCGCACGTGCACAAACGGGAACGACAGACGCACTGCCAACACACGACCCCAACGGCGGACAGTCGCAGGCCCGTCCGCGCCGCTCAGGCTGACAAAGATGTCACATAGGGCAGAAAAATGTCCGAACATGAAGATCACAAGACAATAAATTAACCGTAAGCTGAGTGAGTTTTCTCTAGATTGCATAACGGATACATGTTTGACACGGTTGGCTAATACAAGCTCCAAATTATGGCCGTGAGATTTTCTAAATCCACGGTTCCGGCCCCGGACTAGTCTGACGTCAGTCTGACACCCTTCGGGCCAACTCTCAGTGCCAACCTATCCAAACGTTTTTTGGTACTGAAAATAAAAATGATAAGAACATAACAATAACAAGAATATAATAATTAACGCAACATAGTAATGATGATAGACAGATAAAGCATACAAATAGCTATAAGTGAGCTGGTCTCATCACGTATGATGCTTGCTTTAAAATCTTCAAATGTGGAATGTTCCCTTTCAACTAAACGGGTTGCTGCCGAGTGGCGGGTGGTAACCGAGACCCATCAGTGCGCTTCGGAGGTCTCAGCTCGGCCATTTGGTCAGCTGCCCAGCCGGCAGTTCAGCCACTGCACGTGAGGGGACACAATGGCAAGCCAGACTGCACGTGGCCAGTCGACACACCGGTGCAGTAGCTACGTGCGTTTCAGCGGCTTTGCCAGGCACACACACTCTGCCACCGGCGTCCGCAGAACAACATCCCATCGGAGAGGATGACGTGGAACTGCGCTGTGTGGGTGAGACTCCGGCAAGCATTCTGATCGGGCCAGCAGCGCTCAGTCACGTCCGTGTACTAGTGGCAAAAACACTTATCTATCCCAGCGATACTCGGCACCGATGTTCTACTAAAATTGAAGTCTTTCAGCGTCGATTTCGCAAGGCGGGCCCTGCATATTGGTGACTTGTGTGTCCGGCTGGAGGCCAGGCAGGGTGGGACGCCAGTACAGCCGATAGTCGTGCGACTGGCATCTGGCTACATTTTGGATCCCTCCTCGGAGCGGGTGGTGGATTCGACCCTGCTTTATACAGGGCGGGGTGTATGGGGTTACTCCCTACCCTTGTCGTGCACGTTCCGCCGTTGGCAACACGATACCGATCCTGGTGAAGAGCCCTGACACGGAGCCGGCGAATCCTACCGTTTCGCACTACATTTAAGAGAACTCAATCGCAACACAGTGGATGAAGTCACGAACCTCCCGACGGTTTAAGCGTGTTTGGACAGTCTAGTGGGCTCGCAGATTGCACTTCTTTGCATTTGAGCTCTCCATACTGGCAAGTCCCCGTAGCTCCAAGTAATCGGCAAAACTCGCGTTTAGTACGGAGGATAAACTATGTGAATTCCTGGACGTGCCGTTCGATACGCATGCCGGCCACCGGTTGCATTACGCGCCTAATGTCGGAGGCGTTACGTGGTCTGCTGGCAGGCATCGTGCTTACATAACATCACCATCACGCTTGGACGACACGACAGGCTCAGATGACATCGTCGTGGGCAGACAGACTGTACCAGAACATCTAACTCTGCTGTAGTCTGGTTTGGATCGGCTTCGGCCAGCGGGATTGGCAACGAAAAGCTCGGAGGCGGTGCCCAGCCGTCGCCGGATCAAGTTGTTGGAGCACTCTGTATCAGCCTTTGGACTGGAGCCCGGCCCTGCTAAGGTGGAAACAATCAGAAACCGGCTTCAACCGGAAACAACGAAGCATGTTCGTTGATTTGTCGGCGCGTGTAACTACTGCAGCGACTTAATACATGACCTGCAGCTTCCAGCCGCGCCCTTGCGTAAAATTTTCGGCAACGCCTGTTCTCACGGAACAATCGTAGAGACTAGGCGTTCGAGAGACGCAAGCAAGCTCTGTGCAAGACGACGACTTTGCACCTTCTGGACATGCAGAGCGCCTTTGAGGTCAGCGCAGATGCATCAGATGTACACCGGTTTGGAGTGCGTGCTTTCACAACAGAACGCTGATGGAGCCGAAAGGCTCGTTTGTTTTGCTTCAAAAATGTTTTCGGACAGTGAGAAAAATTGGCACATCCCGGACAATGAGGTTTTGCGTTCATTTTCGCTCTCAGAAGTTCCCAGCCTACGCGCCCAGTAAACCATTCCAGTGGTTTATGGATCATTGCGGTCTCCAGTGACTACGAAATACCAAGGGTCCCAAAGACGCTATGGCAGATGGATCGAGGGGTTGGCGGGATTCCAGCTCATTGCCGATTACCGACGGGGTGATAATAACTATCTGGTCGATGCGCTATGCCGGGCGCATGTTCATGCGACTCAGTCTGCGGCGGACCCCGCCGCTGCCGAGTCACGTCTGACACTGCGGAGGAGCTGGGCGTCGAGCAGTTAGGGGTCGCGCAGCGGACGGATAAGCCGCTGCGAGATTGGTGTCAGAAGCTCCGGTTCAACAGGGCGCAAGAGAAGACCTGCAGGCAATTAGCGAGGTCAATGGGGAATGACAAAGAACCGGTGGGCGCCTTTTAACCGCAGTCAAATGGAGCAGTTGAACGCGTCCATGAAACAATCGGTTCTTTGCTGCGTAGGAAAACACAATGATTTGGCGGAAGCTGGAACAATTACTAAGATTTCGCTCGTTTTTGCTGGCGCCTGGCCACGCCGCTATAGACACAGGTTGGCCAGGAGATACCGCCCAAAACCTCACCAGGGCTCACGAACAGGCGACTACCAGGGGAGAGGAGAAGAAGAATAATGGGGTGTCTAGAATCCAGCAGAGTGGAAATGAAACCCAATACCAAGTGGGAGATAAGGCATTCATGAAGATACCGACGAAGCTAGGAATGTCGGAAAAATTTCAGGTCCGGTGGGTAATCCGTTCGTTGACGTCAGTTGTAAACAAGGTAATACGTACTGGATGGAAAAGGAACAAAGCTTTCAGCAGCGAGATATCCGCCATTACGATCAACTGGAGCCTGTAGAAGGTAGGGAGGAGCGACTGCTGATCCAGACTGAAGGAGCAGCAACCCCGACAGTACCATACACATCAGGTTTGGCACCAGAAAACGAATAAGCAAATCATCCCAGTGGACAAACAACGGTTCTCTGCGATGAGGAATCGATCTATATTCTGACGACTCTGAAGACATGGATGTAAAGACCAGCAACATGAAGACAACCAACAAGAAGCAGCACAGAAGACGGAGCTACAAGTGGCACCCTGGCGCGGCTCAGTGTCGGGGCACATCACTCTCCAGACGGGTGTGGCGAGTGAACGGTATAAAGCACGAGGGTGAGGTTGGGGCAGGCGGAAGAGAGCATAACTAGGAGGGGGATAGTGGCCTCGCCACCTCGCTGGGAGCGCATCTGCGCGGCGGCTTGACCTTGACCACTCGACCTGGCGGAACAGCACGGAAAACCAGACGGAACGCCAGTCGACTGCAACCAGTGAGTGACGACGATCACATCATATCTGCTTGTTCCTTGCTTGAACTTACGCCGAGCCCGCCTCTAAAGATCAACTTCAACGATACGAGTCGTGATCTGTCCGTGGTCCGGTGTTGGATGGCTCCGATGCCTGAGAAACTTGCCCCATCCTACCAATTAAAACACATTCTGCCACGCGCTAGACTGCAGCTGCGTAATCCAGACAGTGACCACCACTTCGCATAAGGCCGAGGAAAACATAACGATGAGACGGGTATACACAGATAACATGAGTGTGATAAAATTGATTTTAGATATGCGCAGTTCGCTTCGTCGTTTTGTCAAGCCTTTGGCAATGGAGGTCGGGATACCGTACGAAAAAGGGGAAGGGCAGCAGAGAGCGCAGTGTGCGGTGCTTATCACAAATGTTCAAATGCAAAGAGGCACCACGTATATAAAATGTAGAACTAACACATTGTGGAACACATAATAGGGATTTGCAGCCGTAGACACAAAATGGGACGCAATCAGACCTACACGGAAAAGGTGACACACAGGGGCGCAGGCATAAATGTAAGTGACGAATCACGATAAAAAATGACCACTTGAGGCGGTGCGTGTGCCTTAACTGTAGTTCTTAAGTTTGTCTTTATATGTGGTAGGTAATTGAGGGTGCAGATGGCCCATCATGCGTCTCATAGTCTGTTGTGCGCAACCAAGCATATGCATGACAAGGCTGACTGCACGGTTCAGGTATGCCGAATCACAAAGTACACTGTGTTGCATGTTGTGTACTGTTACCACGCTTTTTATGGTGTTGACAGCCCGTGTAGACGGTTCGACTGCCAGTAGTCATTTCATTTCCAGCAACACTGAAAGGGAATAGTCCACCGTTGAAGATATTAAAGTAGGCATAATATATAATCAAATGAGCTCACTTGTAACTATTGGTTTGCTTTTAAAGCGAACATTCCAAATGTGACGATATTGAAGCACGCATCAGATGTGATGAACTGGGCTTACTTACAACTATTGGTATACTTTTAGGTAGAAAAGCTTGCTCTGGATAGTGCAATGTCTCAATTCCGCAACAAAGAAAATTAAAGGAAATGTCTCACATCTGATGATATCGGAGCAAGCCTCAGTCATGGTGAAGCAAGCTTGCTTATCATGACTATTGGTACATTTTCTACGAGGAAAAGACTGCTCTAGGCAGCACAATTCTCTCTTCAGTAAATATGCTCCTTAATACGTCATGGCTTGATTACGTTATCGTACCTTGCACAACACTGAGAGGCAATGTGCGGCTGCTGTATATAAAAATCGCGCCCACAAATGCTAGACATGAACGCCCCGACAATTACATTTTTCTTGGCCTTCACCGCCGCATGGCTTATAGAATGGAAGGAAATGAATGACGTCATTATGATATCATGAATGCCAAGGTAACTTTAAAATGCTCTCCCCGATATACGTTTTCCTACTTTGGCGGGCGTGTAGCGCAGAAACCAAAAGGGGCATGGTCTTAAGAGGGGCAGGATTGTAAACAGCACCGAAAGGTCTTCAAGATGACTATTTCAGTTCAAAACCCCATATAAACAACACTCCCTTTAATGTGTCATTATCGGCGACGTCATCATGCCTCGCACAGCAATCATTGAGAGCCAATTGACGGCCGGTATTATTTGGAAATCGTGCTCACGAACGCCAGAAAAGAACCACTCGACAACTGCGTTCTTGTCTTAACCGCCAGCGCCGCATGACCAGCAGAATGACCAAATTTGAATGGCGTTATTATGGCATCATGGATACCTGGGTAACATTGAAAAAGTCTGCATGAAATAGTGCGCACATTTTCGCGGGCGCATAGCTTAGAAACTAGATGGTTTTCGATCTTGAGGAGGAAAGGACTGTGAGCTGCACTGAATGATCTTCAAGAGGGCCAGTTCGGCTCAAAACCTCGCACAACTGTGGAACACTCCTCTTAAATTCGAAAGCAACGGCAGCAGAGATGAGGTTAGCCAGCTGACAACAGCATTGCGAATATCGTTAACGGGAGTGTTCCACGTTTATATGGGGTTTTTATCTGAAACAGCCACCTTGAAGAACTTACGGTGCTGTTAAGAATTCTGCCCTTCTTAAGACCTAAGTCCCTCTAGATTCTGAGCTATACGCCCGCGAAAATGGGGAAAGGCGTGTGGGGGGCAAGTATTTCAAAGTCACCATGAAATTCACATACTGTCATTCTATGAGCCATGCGGCAACCAAGGCCAATACAAATTCATATCTGGCATCTGTGAGCGCCATTTCCAGACACAACGGTCGTCAACTGGCTATCAACCAGTGTTGTGCAGGGCACTATGACGTGATCAAACGACGACCCATTGAGGAGCATGTTTACTACACAGTGAATTGTGCTGTCTAGAACAGTCTTTTCCACTCAAAATATACCAAAAGTTATCAGTGAGCTAGTAACACCATGCCTGATGATTGCTTTAATATGTTCAAATGTGAGACATTCTCTTTCAACATGATGTATGATCGGAGGGTACAGATGTGTTCAGCCAGTGGCAGGAGCGGAACAAGATCGCACCAACACGCAGCTAGCTTGCACGCTCGTGCAAGTTCCGCGAGCTTCGTCTGTCTGCCGTGAAAATATTGCTACATGCATGCAGACACACACGCATGCACGCCCCCCCCTTCCCACCCATTCTACTAATTCAACAAACAGGTGTGGCCATAACAACCAAGTGGGGAAAGCCGGTCTCCAATTGTGCATACTGTATCCCACATAACCAAACGCATGCGTACCTGCCATCACTACTCATCTACACAGAGGAACGGAGCAGCAACTGGTGTCAATGAATGTTTGAAACCAACGGTTACATCGTTGAGTCATAGTCAGAAAGCACATCGACGAATTTTAGGCAGGCAATTCCCTTCCATGGAGCGTAGTAGACACGGGGTTGCGTTATAATCAAATTGATGCTGGTGGGGCTTAGGTTCCCTCATGGTAAAGAACCTATGCTGGGACCGAATGTAGGACGACCAGCCGTCGGGTATTCCAAGTGGTTCGTACTAACGATGTCCCACTATACTTATCACGTGATCATGGGTTGAACAATGGGTTGACTAAGCCATTTGTTGACGAGAGGGAAATGTGGTATTGTTGTGCCATATAGCGGCAGGACTCCAAAGAAATATACCACTGTGGAGCGATCTAACGGCACAAATCAGAAATGGCTTTGGACGTCGAGCTCGCTGGAGGTTATGAGCATAAGATGTTATGACTTCGGACGTTGCAAGCTTAGGTCCTATGAACTACGCCAATGGGCACGGAATAACACCATTTTGGATGTCATGAACGCTGGGTGGTACGATTTTGGAAGATATGAACACTGGACGCTGCGATCTTGGACGTTCTGATGGCTCCCCTTCATGACATTCTGATTTTCCAAACCCTATGGAAGTGCTGGCTGACGTTCCAGGCTCCATGCCCCCACAAACGATAATATAAAAAATTACATTCGTGCAGCCTGTGCGCTGTGTTATGCAGGTTGATTTTATAAATATTTGCCATCGAATTGATAAAGTTGATTTAATATGACAAGCAAAGTGTTTCCTATGTAACAGTAAGAAACAACACACTTCTGGGGTACAGGTTTTCAAATACACGCCAATGCTCTCAAAACCGCATATTGACTTAAAACTAAACTAAACCTAACTTTTGTTGCTTAAAAACTAACACGGTAATAGACCTGAAGCACCCCAAATCCATCAGCCGTCCCTATAAGATCCATGTAACTTTTTCACGGCCAGCTAAACACTCACACCTCTCGTAGATGTCGTCCACACTCATGTCGCTGCCCGCCATGACGATACCGGTAGGAGGTCACAGTCCCCGTGACCCCGAATCACCTCCGCAGCTGTCCGTAGACAGGTCTGAAAAATAAGAAACAGCGCAATTTGAGAAAAAAAGATGATTGGCCAACCACCAGTTTATCCATATTTGCATTGCAACGCCAGGCGACGATTGCAGCAATGGACTCCACATTGTCATTTATCGCATGTGTTATCGCCCAATCTGAGGATCTTTATGGCGAATGATGGGGGTACGCGAATAAGTAAAGCGAAGTTTTAAGTTGTGCTTCTTTTGTGTACAAGTAACCTGAATGAAAGTTGAGCAGCTCTGTGCACATATTTCGGGATGCCTGCACTTATCATTGCCTATACCGTGGCAATGTGCTCGACCCGAGCAACGGCCACCTTCACGACGCGTCCACACCGGTTCGCAAGAGGCAAGGGGACCCGAGAGTCGTTTAAGTTGTCAGAAAGCACGCGATCCCACGCTTAGGGTAGCGGTTTTCGCGGTTGGGCTTCCCTGCGCCCATGTCCATCCCGGGTGCCGCGTTGCGAGGTGAACCGACGTGGCGAATTGATGGTTTTTCCCTCAGGTGTGTTACGGCCCGTTTTGACGCGATTTATCAAGTCATGCCTTCGATCGCCAACAGCTGCTTGGTTAAAAATGACTTCCATGGACCCGTTCCCCAGCCCAAGGAATTTTCGAGCAGGGCACCCTCTCATATCCCAATATCCCAATATTGTGTTAAAATATCGATGGTACCCGTAACGGCTAAGACCAACTGGCGAATTGTCCAAGGTCGGTCCCTATGCTATCTGGGAGTGAACGGCGTCTCTCCGATGCTCACCGCGGGTTTCCCCCACGCCGCAAAAACAAGTCCTGCCCTGATTCATATCACTGACCGACTTCTTGACGTTCCGGGGAAAGTGAAACTTCTCCGATTGTCTGACTTTAATTATTTTTTTGTGTCATTGACCTAATTATTGACGAAGCCACCATGCAACACGTTCGAAATACACACACAAATATGCAATGTGTTAGTGCCACTGGCCACCCCAAATGACAATGGAAACATTAGCTCTTAAGAGCCACCTAGGGTGGCTCTGCTGACACCCTGAGGCTATATGCAAAGTGCATTTCCGTCTCCGTGACTTGTGGAGCTAGACCCGTAACCCAGTAGTGGTAACGGCTGCGAGTCCCAGAGCGGATGCATTGTTCGGCCCGCTCAAATGAAACTGGCCGACGACGATTAAACCCGGGCCCAAGGTTACCGTGTCGCGAAATTGCGCGCCCCGCGTAGCCCTTCACATGCTTGTCTGGCGAAAGGGCTGATTGAAAATTATCTTACAACTGGATGACACCACTTGGGTGGTCCGTTCAGGGCGCACGCACTCGCTATGCTTAGCGGGTGCGCAGAGACCGAAGTCACCCATGCAAACCATTGGGAATAAATATACAGCAAACAAAGCAGCTACCGTCAGGGTCTTTTCTGAGCAGTATCAAAAAATTAGGGCCTGGCTGCTCGGAATTGTGAAATATGAAGTACTACACCGATGACACCCAGCCCAAAGTCACCTGTCGGAAGTAGCATTAGTGCAACAGCGGCGTGACTGGGGCCGACTCTTCGCTCTTCACGCGATTCGCTCGGTGCCACAGGACAGATCGTCAACGTTGGGAAGATGCAGCTTGTGGGCTTTGGCAGGCGTCAAAACAAATGGGGTTTCTGGATATTGGTGCCAGATCGAGGCCGAGGCCTATGAGGGCTTACTCTGGCTCATAGAAGTCTAATTTTGACGTGAAGAGGGACCATTCTAGCTCGTAGAGGGCGATTATTAACACGCGCTCGGTTGGGGGTCAAATTGACCTCCCTAAGGTTTTTCCGTAATTGTTTCCGAACGGCGTGGCGTAGCCACGTCAGATTTTGCACAGCTGTAGACAATTGAACAGCAGATCGTGTGGTATCAAAAAATTGGATGTACCTTGTATGGTCGCTGGCCCACCGTAGGTCCACATCAGGCCATGGATTCAGCTAAGTCAATTTCAAGGGAATCGTTTAATTTAAAAGGGAAGCAACGGAGTGTTCGACGAAGTCATAAACCTCTAAGATACTTTCTTTGGCAGCACAATAAATAAATGACCAAATTCCATTGACCTAGGGTCAGATATGAAGGTCAGACCAATGTCAAAACCAACCTGCTTTATTACTCCACGGCTTGCTGATACAAAGTTTCCGGTGCTCATTTCAAATTTATCGATAACATAAACTGAATTGGACATCTTTCGTGGGCTTTTTATAGGTCAGAGTAGGCCACTGACCTAAAATGACCGAAGTCAACATTTCGTTTTTAGGAACATGCTGCCTAGCTTACTCTTTGTCGCGTATTCAAATGCAAAACTCAAAACAGCCTTCAATGATTTTGGTCGCCATGACCCTCTAAACATCAAACAAGGTCACTGACCTGGAATGAGCATGTGACCTTCCGCTTAGAAGAGGTATCTATGTCCTGGGACACTTCAGAGACCAACTTAGAGTTTGACACTGTTTGACCTTATTTGACCAGAAAGGCGTGACTTAGGAGGCTTCAATTTTGACCTAAGTGAGTTCACTTACAGACAACACACCCTATGAATCTGGTGTCTCTAGCCCTCTCAGCCCCAGAGATCTCAGAGGGGAGGGGGTCAAATTGGTTCCCACCCGAGCAAAGGGTATCCAACCGGCCACCCGGGCTCGTAACTGCAGAGTCTACTTTGTCCTCCAGAAAGCCTATTCTGACCCTATGGGGCCGTTCTGACATAAGAGCCATTCCGGCTCGTAGTGGGCCCACTATACCAACTTAGGGACCCATCTTGACGTTTTGTAGCTCGCCCCCCCCCCCCCCCCCGGACTTGAACATAGTTTCTGCGCCCCGGGGTGCAGTCCCCATCAATTTCAACACACAATCTTTATTGTTGAGCATTATATGTTGCAAAAGTTCTTTCACACAGCCATACTTCAAAACCTTTCTTGTACAAAAAGAAGTCAAAAACAAAGTGCATTTTAACCTGACCTGAGGTCAGCAAATTCAAATAAGAGCTTCAGCACACCAGTCTGGGGAGTGTCACAAACACAGTTTGAAAACCCTTCTCACATGAAAAAAGACTTAAGAAAGGAGGGTCACAGGTCCTCTATTCTTGTGTTGCCACAGGTCATACAATTACATCCATTTTGGCACCTGATTCCTATGTGACCCAACATTCTGCATTCTATGCCGAATCATAGCATGGGGGATGCATATGGTACACCATGTAATTTAGTTCCAGCTTGCTTGGTATGGCAGGCTGGTCCGTCAAAACACAGCAAGATAGTGGAGGCATTTTTGACCTTCTTATTTTTCTGGTGAACCTTTTGGTTCCTGACACCCCAAACTCCTGAAACCAGTCAACAATCTCACTTGCAATCAAGTGCAGTAGGTCATTGGCATGTGTGGTTCCCTTTGAAGTGTTCATCCTGACATTTGGCTGCACATCATGTTGATTACCCTGGAAGAACATGGCTTTCAGAAACATTTCAGTCTGAGCTTTAGTTTTGTCTTTGTGCTTCATTTCTAAGTGTGTGCTCATACCTACAGTACCTTTTAAAGCTGTGGAGCAGATGAAAAGTTATTTGAATTGACAGTTCTATTCTAAAGGTATGAGCCCCACTGAGCTCTTCAAAGCAAATGCATGGAATATTGTGCACCTGTTACATAACTTCCAAGGGCACATGATGACAAACTTATGATTAAAATATCATGCAAGCTACTGTAATATAAATAGGAACATCTGGTGCATTGTAGTTGGTGCAGCTACCTACCAGCCAACACAGAATCTTTCTCACCCAATGGGCAGATGCTCAGGCAATGTGATACCCACCTAACCTTCTAATGACCTTGGTATATTCAATTTGGGACCAGGGGTATAGTTTCCTATTGAGCTGCATGGAACTCTATTCCCTCCCCCCAGCTCTGAAGAGAAATTTGGTTAAATTCAGGCCAAAACAGGGCTTACACTATTTACTTGAGTTTAACAACCTTCTCTGCTCACTATGTTCCCTAAACTTATGCACAAAACTACATGTCTGAACTGCTGTATGATTGGGACCCCCAAGGGCAGTGCAGCTGAAGCAGAGAAATTATTTCATCCTCATAGAGCCGCCCACCCCTACATGGTTAGTAAATATCCACTGTATCTACATAGTGACAATGAGTCTGATACAATACTGTCCTCAGTGTGCAACATTGAGCTGAATCATGTATAGTTTTATTTTCATTTTTGACCCAATGCAATGTCACCACTAGACATGGTTCTCACGCCACTCTTCTACGCACTCTCCTCTAACTGAACTCAAAAACTCGCATGCCACAGAAATTGTGCACACAGGAGAGCAGTCTTCAAGAACAGAGCGACCCATCAGTTAGTCATCGGTCTCAACATTATTATCCAAAGATCTTAACAATTTTCTAGAAAACATTCATTGCTAAAACCCAGCATAACTGAAAGGTTGAAAAGTTCAAGAATCTCATATAGTTACTCAGTTGAAAACCAATATGGCGGCCTAAAAAAACAACGGAAAGCCTGATTTAGCTCAACCAAACTTTGGTGGTGGTGCTCAGTACATGGACAGAAAAATACTTCAGTGGTTGTCCATATTATGGCTTGGTTCTCAGGTATGAACCAGGGTTTCCCAGATGACCCGACAAGGAATCTCTCATTTTCTTCATATCAACAAGCCAACTTGATAGGTCGATAGGACCTATCAATTCCACAACGGACCACACACACACACACACACACACACACACACACACACACACACACACACACACACACACACACACACACACACACACATACTCACATACACACACGCACGCGCGCGCGGGCGCATAAACAAACGATCACTCCTGTCCAAATCCTATTTATCCAATTATATGAAGGTAACACTCCAACACCTTGCTAAAAAGACACTCAGTGTCTTTTGAAGTCTCTAATACCAAGTTGAAAACAGCTCTCAGCAACCTTCACAAAAACTCTTCCGCAACCAAACGCAGGCCCCACCAGCTAGACGTCGATGCACGAAGTCGCTGAGACGATTCAATTACAAATTGAGCGCTAGACACACGCCGCTGTCGCGTCATGGCTCGTCTTTCGCAGTCAGTAAGCCAGTGTACATCAAATACCAAAATAATTGGTACTTTCCGTATATGGGAACATTTGGGCAGTTGACAATTGTGATGGCTAGTGGAGTGCATGGCCCTAGAACAGTGGCGTGATGGTCAGAGGCGTAAATTTTTGTACATTATTGGGGCTGAACCGAAGGTTCGACAACCAACCCCCGCCCACCTTGCCCCGAAATATGGAGTGTACCCAAGCAGGTTATCAGATGACCCCAGTAGGAGCGCAGGGCCCTAAATTCAAACATCAAGATCCAATGCACAGGGCACCCGAACAATCCAGTTTGGCCGAAGAGGTGAACAAAGCGGGCCCCGACAAGTGCGTAGGGCCCCATTCAAGTAGGACGTGCCCAAGACCCCATGAAGAGGGCGCCCGAATGATCAAATGTGCCCGAGTACCTTATCAGATAGGCCCCCGACAAGAGCGAAGAACATGCAAATAAAATTTACCCAAGACCCCGTGTGGAGGGCCCCCGAAAGATCGGGTGTATCCGTGCGGGCTATCAGATGTCCCCGACAAGAGCGTAGGGCCCTACACTAAAGCACCCAATGTGCATGGCTCCCAAACAATCCAGTGTGCCGGAGCAGGTTAACAGATGGGGCCCTGACAAGTGTGCAGCGCCCTCCATTCAAATAGGGAGTACCCAAGACACAATTTGGAGGGCCGGACCGATCGAGTGTGCATAAGCAGGTTAACAAATGGGGCCCCCGACAAGAGCGTAGAGCCCTAAGCAAGCGACATAGAACTGTAAACGCTCTAGAGCAATGCAGAGGGCCCGTGAGTATGTCGCGAGTGTTTCGGTAGCTGAACTGAGACCAACGTAAAGGGACCCCGAGCAACCGGGAATAGCCCGACACGTTAACATATGGGGCCCCGACTATAGCCCACAGAGCATTTCTGGCGAATAAAAAAAATCCGTGGAAGGCCCTTGACTGACAAGAGCGCGCCGGCACGCTGGCAGGAAGGGCGCACCAACAGTGCAGGGCCCTCTGAGCAAACGCAAAGAAGTCAGGGAAAACGTGGAAGGCTCCTTAACGGTCGGAATGATCCTGCAAGCTGGCATATAGGTCCTCCCGAAAACAACACAGTGCCCTGAACAGCGTAATAACGCTTAAAAGTTCCAACTACCAACTCTTTCAACCGTTGAATATTTTTTTCTCTCTTCTCGTTGACGCTTCACTTTGCTTGCAACTGTTCTTGGTGGCCTGGAAACCCAAAGATGTCCAATTCTCTTGCGTTTTGTGTCAAAAAAACTGCATCTGTTCGGTCGACTATAGGGCCCACTCGAAGCCTATGGGTCCCTTCGAGGCCCGCGGGGGATGGACCCGTGGCCACCCACCCACCCCCCCCTGGATCTGCCTCCGCCTTGTCCTAAGAACCATAAACCTGGTATTTTATGACCATTATTCATCACATTATATTTGTAGGTACCCGTAATGTCCCATTTCTCGGCCGGCTATAGCCCCCTTTGGAGCCCACGAGGCCCTTCGGGGCCCAAGGGGGGCATGGTCCCGTGGCCACCCCCTCTGGTTCCGCTCCTGGGTGATTGGGATTTTGTCGCACTTTTGTTATACATTGTAATGTGTGTCTCATTCGTTGAAGAGCGAGAGGCATGACGTGGGCATCCACTTGAAGCGGCAAAATTGGGGCCCACTTCAAGTGGGCCCCAGGTGTGCAAGTAATAACGTTTGGTTGGCTGCACTGTGCCGTGACCTGGAGATGCATCTAAAGAAGTTTAGTCTCTCAAGGCATTTGGAGCGAGCGTACTCCATGCGCTGTCACACCGACAATCTTGGGTCAAGTACGATGCGAAGAAATGTGAAAGACGAAGCGAAAGGAATGTAATGTCCATCTGATCGCAGCCGAAAAATAGGAGTGCCACGCATATCTTTGCGGAAAATCATAGCCGCGGACTTAGGAGCGGAGAACCTGAACCCGTGACGCTCTGACCATTGCTACACCTCGTTCTGGGCGGCTCGGAGCCGTGGCAGCGAGTGGTCATACTCGTCACCCGAGGATCAGATGGCGCTGCCGTCCGCAAAATGTGGGAAGAAGAATTGCTCGGTGGTAATGAGTCAACGAATCGTTTATCATGAAACTAAACATAATCGGTGAGATATAGCTTCCCTGTGGGAGACTTTTCTCTAGATTGTGAGTGTCAGAAGCGGCGGAGCCGCATCCCGCACGAAATGGTCTGATGCCAGAAAGAAATCCAATGAAGTTACGTGCTAAACGACCTTTACACCCTTATTGATGGATTTTGAAAATAAGTGCAGGTTTAAAGACCATATTACAGGCTCAGCTTATGTTTAAGAAAACAGCAGTCGTGTGATCTCGATGTTTAAAGGAATGTTTAATGTCAGTTCCGAGTCGAATGATGTGGTCTATCGTGCTGTGATTTTGTCGAAGACCACATTAATGTTTTGAAAGCAGGCAGTCTCGTTCTACGGTCCAAGAGATCCGCTTCACCATCGTGGGTTCAAAAAGCTTGCCTAGACAGTTAGCAAGTGCAATGGGGCAATAGTGTGATGGGTCTTTGGAGTCTTTCCCTGGTTTTGGGAGCGTAAGTATTATGTTGTCTCTTCATGCCTTAGGAAATATGTGATATTACCCATAGGCGTAGGAACGTTTCAAAAAGTTCGGGGGGGGGGAGAGGGGGCCAGCTCAGGGCATACTTTAGGATTGTTTTCTGGAAAACAAACCGGACGACCGGGGGGGGGGGGGGTAGAGATGGAGGTTACCACTCTTTACTCAAATGTAATGACTGATATCCTAGATATGCATATGCATAGAGATGTTTCTCACTGGTGCACACTCTTGCCTATCCGACTCATATATGTCATTCGGGAAATAAGGCTATTCAGCTTTACGAGATTATTCGTCCAATTCAACGGCAGCCATTTCAGCTGTTATGCTGAACTGGAGTCTCTGAGCCAACTGATCTGAGTTAGACATCCGAGTCGATAAAGGAACTGTTTTGTGTCAATGGGGAACCTTGCGCCGATCCGGGTCCAAAGTCCCGATCAGGGGTATTTCGGCGTCAAGCAGGCGACCAATGTGTATACGGGGATGCCTCTGTTTCACCAAGAACACGGCTGGTAAGCGCCTTGGACTGAGATGGAACGACCCTTCAGCCCCTGACCAGGAAACATAACGTGTCCCTAGTGCTCTACCCGCTGGTCCCTCGCCAGGAAAAGGGTAAGGGGCGGACACAACGCTTTACACAATATTACTAGGCTAGGGTTGTTTCGCCCACCGAGGCCAGTGCGCACTACGCACAACCAGGGCAGTACGCACTGCATTACAGGAGCGCGCATTACATTCATTTTCATCCATTCCTAGTACATTCACCTTGGCCAGGAGCTGGGACGTTTGAAAATGGCCCAAAATGCGTATCATAATTCAAGAACATCCTTGAAGGTAATATTTAATTCGTGTTCACACCTTATCATAGACATTCCGTAGGACCATCCCTTATATTTCCGGCAATCAAGTATGGAAGCTTTCAAGTTCGTTTTCAGGAGCTCAATTTCACGAACTCCATTGAGTTGGTGCCATACGATGCAAAACGACGTCGCCGTCATCTCAGCCCACCACTATTTTTATCGTTCGTGTCCGTGTGGGAAAAGTTGGGACTAATGCCATCGGTTTCGAACGATACATTTTAGCACAACTGATGGTATCTCATCCATAAATATCACAGAAACATCTGTAAATAATTGACCCATGTCGTTCTTCTCTCTCCGTTGTAAACATTACCCATCTCTTGCCTTCCAACGGTGAAAGGTTGAGTGACCCCGAGGCGAGCAAGGCTGGGCGGCGCGGTACGTCGGAGGCGATGTGTACTTTCGCTTTTACTTTCTCCCCGGACTTTCTTCCCAACAAAGGCGGCTGGGTGCTGGCGTATGGATGATTGGATGAGGGTAAGTGGTGCTTTCATGTTTCTTCCCGGAGATGCCGCTGATTGTCTTAGTCAGGTGTCTCAAGCTTTGTGTTCCGTTTATCTGGGCATTGCTGATATTCCCATTGTCTTTTTTTTGGCCGTGGTTGATGCCAATGCTTGTTTGAATGTCACATGATGTTGTCACGAGTCACAATCCAAGGGCTGCCTTCAATGATGGTAAGATTTTCAACGCATACGGAGCTACTTTGGATATCTGTTTATATCATTATCCTGTGTTTGGTCTCTTTGAGTGCTTGTCTTCTTGTTAATGCCCATTTAGCGTCAGTAAGAGAGCCTTCTCCTTCCCATGACCACTTTGACTGAAAATTTGTCATGCTGGTTAAGGAAAATGTGGAATCTAGCCACCACGTGAGTTGAGGCATGCTGAAAGCCCTTGGCACCTGCCTATCCCAGTCAGTAACTAAGTACAGCATACTTGTGTATCATTGGTACTTTGTTGACTTTCTCTCCAGAGCATTTCAATTGGCAAGTAGAGCATTCAGAATATTTGAGTAATCATTTTGCTATTAAAATTATGCATGCTGTGTCCTAAGAAGGGGCAGATGTGGAGGCCACTTTCATAGCCAAGGATATTAGCTCCTGTTACTGTTCAGCATGCTAAACAGTCAATCTTATGGTGCAGGTAATGTTAGAAATTAATGGAAGTAAGCAGCAAGCAAAAAAGTGGCCATAGCCAAAGGCAGTGTACCGCTGCTAATGCCCCAAGCAAAAAGCTTGCTTATGACATGATCAGTAGTATCACATTCACACAGGCTTGGAAGGCATGGACAGGTCTGAGGGATAGAAGGCTGTTGGCTGCCCACCAGGCTATTGGAAGCAAAGTGAAGGAATCAGGCCAGGTGATAGCTAGGTGTTCCAAACCTGACAGTCAGAGAATGCATGTATGTTTGTCTGCCACCTAGTGCTGCTGGACCATGACCTCAGCATGTTTTATGCATGCCATGGTGACTCATCATTGGAAATATGCTATCAGGTCATGGTTCAGATCTCAGGACCAATTTGGAGATTATCTATTTTGGGAGAAAATTGTGTTTACCATAATTCTTGCTACTTGCATGAATTTTGACCATCCTTCAAACAACACTTCCAGGAGGTAGAGAAAAGATGATGGCCAAAAGTGGAGCTCAGCTCTGCCATGCAAAGGAAAAATAATATAAATTACTTTTCTGGTTTATGCATGCTACTTAGTAGCATTTTTTATGCAGTGGGACATGTGTGTTTTATGTTTCCATGGCTGCACTGCAATCACTGGGATGTTGTGATTGTGGTCAGTGATAGTTATGCTTTGCCAGTTCTTTGCATTCATTTCATTTTGCAGCTATGGCTGGTATGCTAATTTGCCTCCTTTCATAGGTGCACCATTGAAAATTAACAACTTTCCTCTGTCCGTTCCAGGTGCGGGTGTCTGTCTGAGTAGCTCCCTGACATGGAGGGGAACCAGCAGTTCTGTTTGAAGTGGAACAATTATCATGTCAACATAGCCAACTCATTCGACTCTCTACGAGTGGATGAGGACTTTGTGGATGTCACACTGGCCTGTGATGGCTTTCACATGAAGGCTCACAGAATGGTTCTCTCTGCATGCAGCCCTTTCTTCAGACAGCTGCTTAAGGTTTGTTGTCAGTTGCAAAGAAGGCCATAATATGTTGTGTCTTGAAGCTTTTTTCCCCTACATGTCCTAGTATTCATTTTGGTGCAATATTGACTGGCGTGGTATGCACTGTCATCAGAAGAAGATAGTCTATATGATATACTGCTAATGTGCAAAACATATGGAATGATTTAAAATTTGAGATTATGATGCTTGAACCTTTGCACTACCTTCTTGCATTTGATTGGGTTTCAATGATTAGGGTTTAAGATGCACCCACTATCATGGTCATTTCACACCTTGTTGGCCTTCTCTCGAGATGTTTGGTACGGCTCATCTGCCAACATGGAAGAAGCACCAAAAAGCCTCACCGGCCCAGCATGTGACCAGTATTTGTGGCCACTTCCAGTCCAACCCGCACCCGCACCCAATCGTGATCCTGCGAGATGTGAGCCAGCAGAACATGGTGCTCCTGCTCGACTTTATGTACCATGGTGAGGTTAATGTGGCCCAAGAGCAGTTGGCTGAGTTCCTCAAGGTGGCGGAGCTGCTCAAGGTCAAGGGCCTTGCTGACGACAAGCGGGAAGAGGGCAGCGGCTCCAACGTAAGTGTTAGGCATGAACTGGGAGTTTGTCTTGGTGTGGTGAGGAGCATTAGGATGTTGGTACACGTGGTGCAGAGCTAATTCACCTTTGCCTTGCATGACTAGCTACAGGGCGTGCAACAGACTCAGATTTTTCTTCAAAATGCTCTCAGATGCATATTTCTCACAACAGGCTGACATATGTCTCAAAACTGGTCCCAGATTGCTGTCGCCTTTCCCCCAGGACTATCCATCCTTTGTGTAGGGCCTCACTCACATGTGGTTTGCAACAGGTTCCTCCATTCCCGCACGACTGGGGCCATTGGGGCGCTAGGTGACGTTGTGAGGCGCTGGTAATGCGTGTACGTGGGGCCGTCAGGCGTCTACTGACGACCCTGGCTGACGTCGGCCACTCTCGTCGCAGGGACAGTCCAGCCGAGTGGCCACCCCTAGTGCGTCGCCGGCGGCGTCCGGCGCCCCGCCCGCCGAGGAGCCGCCGCCGGCCAAGCGCCCCCGGCTGCCGTCGCTGGTGCACGCGACCGCCGCCACGCCCGCCTCGCAAGCGCCGCCTCTCTTTGACCCCAGCGCCGTTAAGCGTGAGGCGGCTGAGAGCCACGCCCCAGGTTACGCGCCGGCCGAGAGAGGGGGCGATGAGCACCTGCGTGTTCTGCCTCAAACTAGTCTGGTCGGGGAGGAGGGCGGCGCCCTACTGCCCGCAGAAGTGTCCATAGAGGACGTGGAGCAAACATTACCTGCCGAAGCTAGTCGAGGTTAGTTGGACGCCTCGTGATCACCCATGCGTTTTGTCCATCCGGTCAGTGCTTTTGCCGTGGCAAGATTCGCTTGCCGGGGCGGCCTGGGCGTGGTTTCGCATTTAAGCCGGCTTTGTGAGCGCAGCTCTATGAGATCGGGAATGCTAGTGGGAAACTCAGCTTGGTGATGGAGACCCAATTTATCGACTACATGGCTGAATTTGTAAACAGGTATGTTTTGATTGATTTATGGATCTATTGATAGATTGAGCTGCTCAAGAGCTTCCCAAAGTGGCATCCATGGGGCTTGGCCGGTGTGCAGCTGGGACCTGGCCGAGCCGGCGTGTCTGTGTCGAGCGCCGCCCTTGACCGATGCTGCCGTGTGCCGGCAGGTCAGTCGGTGACCGGCGCCGGCCCTTCCTCCCTGCCGTTCGAGGCCAGCTCCGACCCGCTGAGTGAGTACGCAGAACCATCCGAGTCCGGCCCCGGACTGGGGCCGCCGAGGCTGTGCATTGGGCTCGGGCTTCTTCATCAGCAGTGCTGTTTTTCGGTTGTATGCTGTTTTTACGGTCTCACTGGTGTCTTTGACGGCCTGAGTGGTTCGCCACAAGTTATTGTTTCTAAGCCTGTTGGTAACGAAACTCGGAAAATCCCAGCGCGTCGATTACGAGTCTCTTTGTTGCTGGATGGCGGTTGGGGCCATGCGTACTTTCCGTGGCAATGCCGTTAAGCCGTGTTTGCATAAAGTAAAGGGGTATTTTGTGGTGCCAAAATTTTACATTTATCTTCGGAACATGCGTTCGTGTCCTCGTCAGCTGACATGCGTTACTCTCTCGTTGGCTAGGAGGTGTAAACTTTGGGTCATGGGTTGAGGGAACTTGGTTACCCCAATGTGCAGCATGACTGTCGCCTTTCGTTTCACGCCTTAATTACGCTGCACTCAGCGCACCGTGGCTTTCTGATCAGTCGATTCTCTGCTCTGGCGGGCTCTGATTGGACGCTTCTTCGCTCTGGCGGGCGTCGATTGGCAGTTTTTCCGCTCCGGCGGGCTCCGATTGGCCGCCTCCCGGGCCCTGATTGGCGGTGTCTGCCTGCTCGCCTCGCACGCTGTGCATGCGTACACCCGTGCATGCCGCTCTCTGTGTCACTGCACCCGCATCCTGGTCGTGACGGGGGCCAAACGGTTGTTGTCCTTGGCCCGGTGCTGTCCCAGGAGCCGGGCCGTGGACGCCACCTCGGCCGGCCGCGCGCCGCCGCACCGGCCGCCACTGGCGCCGCCCGGCCTTCTCGGCGGCCGCACGCCGCGAGTGGAGCGCTGACCTGGCGGTGGGCCGCCCGCTGCCTGGCAGAAGGCTGCCGCCCCGAGCGGTGCCGACTGGCGTAGTACAGCCGTTGTGGGGCCGCGTGGTCTCATCGGCGGCGTGGACTGGAAGGGCGATGGGTCTCTTTTGCGCTCAATTAGTGTGAGTGGTGTCGAAATCAAGCAGGTGGCTGCAGAGATGGGCGATTGCTATCGTTGGTGAAACACGCGGCAGATGAGCCGCCGTTGCGGGAGTTGAGCGCGGATGAAGACGGCTTCCGCCCACGCGCGGCCGGTCGGTGGCCGGCGAGCAACAACCTTGGTTCTGCGGTCGTCCGGGCGATGTCGCCACCGTCGTCGTCTGCCGCCCTCGAGCCTCGGTGAAAGTGGCCCAGCCTCTTAAGGCTGCGGGTGCGCCAGCCGGCGCAACAGGCTGCCTGCCGTAACCATTGGCACGGGTGGGCGCCACCCGGTTCGGCCGCCCGGGCCTCCTGACCTCAAGCAACGGGATCGCCCGGATTGGCTACTAGGATGCGGGAGCGAGATCTGATGGCCGAACGGAGAAAGTTCGTCCCGCGGCTTTTTCTTGTCATAGGCGACTTATCGGTCAAGGTACGATGCTGGTGCCTAGCCCGCAACGGACCCGATCTTTTGCAGCCACTAATCGCTGGGAATGTAGGGAACAATTCAATGCGTTATCAAGCCAAGATCGGTGGCTTTTTCACCTTTACGCGGGAAGGCGCAAAGCTTAAGTCGAGATTATCCGTGTCGATGCACGATGGATGCGAGGTTTGGAATGAACCATCCGAAAAATGGTCCCGCTTGCGCAACCTACTGGTGCAATCCGTACGTATGCCACTCCGTATGACATGGCCTATGCCGCGTTTACTAGGCATAGGGTGCTGCCCGTGCTATATCCATGTCCACAGCATGCCCTCGCTGCCATGACATGGCATTTCATATCCAGTCTGCCGCCGTCAAGGACCAGCTTAGACAGTCTGCAAGCTGCCGTAGGACTCAATGTTTCGCTGCGGTCGGAATAGTGCGATACATGGCCGCACGCTGTGTAGACGCCGTCGAGCGATTGTCGTGGCACTTCTGCGCGACGCCGGGTAACGCTGTGGGCAGAGCTGTGGCCGTGAGGAGGGCGCCCCTGTGCGGCACTGGGTGGTCCTGTGGGCAGAGCTGTGGCGGTGCGGAGCAGCCCCATGCACGCACTCGAGCAGATTTGAATGACGGAGTCATTGCACTTGAGAGCAATTCTGTTCGCGGTGGCATTTTTCGCCGGCAACTCTATCTGTGGGGACATTGTTCGCCTGCACATGTCGGTCCGTGGTAGCCGGGAGCCCCGGACATCTTCCACTGCAGCCGGTGAGCAGCTAAATCTATGGAGTTTTCTCGCAAGATTTTCCAATCGTCAGTCTTCTCGAAGAGAATTGCGACCCTCCACTCTGCTCATCTGAGGTCTTGTCTTATGTTCGTGCGTTAACTATAGCCCAGCAATAGTTGGCGAAACCTTAGATGCTTTTACGAAAGTTCGCCCAGAAGACCCTCTGCCATTCTATTGCTGGCCGGGGGATGTTGCTTGTTAGTCTGCAGGCTCTCAGTTCTTGGATGAAATAAACTCGCACAAACTTCCAGTGGTGCATAACCGCCATACGTTTGATTATGGTGCACTTAGCACTTATTGTCTGTGGTTGCTGGTTGGCGTGAAAAATAAACCGGCAGAAGTTAACCCAGGTGCGTTACCCTACAACCCATAAATAAGTAAACGTAAATGATGTTGCGCATTGGTCCATCGCCATGCATCGAGGCAGTTAAGCTTGGTTAACGCTATGAACATGGCTTTTCAAAATTGAACAATTTTGTACAGTTCAAACACGATATAGCAATCACAAAAAATACATCAAGCGTCCATACCTATAACGTGGGGAAATCTCAGCATTTTCCAAAGCACATGATATTTTTTAGATAGCATTTGTCGGAGGCATTAAGAGGACTTTGCGCTGCGTCACAGACGCTGTCGTAATCCTTTCTGACCGCGTCACGCTCTAGTCCTGGTTTGTTTGCAATACATGCTTTCTTAGGTTTTGGTAGACATGTGCAGAGCTGTAGGAAATATAACTATTTGCGACTGTAATGTGTAAGTCCGGTACGACTAGATTTCCAGTGTAGTGCTGATAAAGCGGCAGTTATAATTCTGTCGTAATATGGGAATGCTCTTCGTCAAAAATTCGTCGCTGTGTAGATGCGGGCACCAACTTTCGGATTTTCCACACGCTGGGGTTGTAAATGAGTGAGCCTCGGAAAGAGGCATGGTCACGAATATAATGTTCAGGCTACGGTCGCGGGCTTCAGAAGACTGGTTTCGCTTCGTAGTATTTCGAAATTATTGAAAAGCGACGGGTTTCCTTTTTTTGGCAGTTCATTGTAGCAGTTTTTGGTACCTGCGGCGGCAGTTCGCCCGTTTGCTCACGTCCAGATGTCATCCACGCTTGCATTGTCAAGTTTCTGATTAATATCTGCGTAGTACTCCCAGCGGGGTGAGTGATATGACTGGGTCTTGACACTCTCAGTGCGGACTGAATCAACGATTTCATGCCTCGCGAATACCTTGATGGCCTCGCAAATACGTAGATTTAACCAGCTTGGAGGTGGTGTTGGAGTCATGTTTTACCAACCTGGAGATGGTGTTGGAGTCATATTTAACCGGCTTGAATGCGGTGATAAATGTTGATTTTTTATTTTGAGGCCCAGGGAAAAGGCGTCCCTGGATGATATAACTTAAGTAATGCGCTTAAACACGAAAAACACCTCACAAATCAGGGAGCTTATGGTTAGATTGTCTTGCTTTTTTCCTCCGAGTAGTGGCTACGCAACCATTTAACATGGTGCCACCCTTGGATCTCGTCAGTTTTGCAGTGTGACAATGACCATTTGTTAGTATATTGAGACATTACGGACTGTGATTACGTCTGCCGCGAAGACTGAACCCACCGATTTCGTACTCCTTAACACGCAGTGGTAGTTGTTTTCCGACTTACGGCCGAAAGACGGGGCTTTGAGCGCACTGTCAGTGTTGCGTTAGCTCATTTTCCACGGCTAGGCGTGCAGTTGCATAAATTTTGAAGTCATCATTAGTTGGCTACAATTCCTATTTTTGGCCTGTTCGTGTGCCCGTTTTTTCTTTCTGTTTTGCTTGTCTGTGATGCTCTGGTCATATTCTGGCTTAATCCTTGATCTATGTTGTCATGTCATGTTGGCTTTACGGGTTGCTGGTGCCGCCTCGTAATAAGGCGATCATGTCATGACGCCGGGTCTGGTTTCTTCGCGTCTGGTCAGAATTGCCTCTTGCCTGAGCCTGAGCCCGAATAGCCTGAGCCGGAAGGTCTCGAATAATTGAGACGATTGAACTGAAGATCGGGAGGTATCGGTTCGACGCGTTCACTCACAGTAGGGAACCTTTAAGAGAACAACCGTTCCCAAGAAACCGTTTTGACAACCGTTTCCACAAAGTTTTGACAGTAGTTGTTACCCATTGCATTTACACGCGACGGTAAGAGACCGGACAAAGATTATTGGATCCCCTCGGTCGATACTCTCTTGGGCTCTCAGATCCGCTCGATCCTTGGGATGCAGCCTGCCCGGTGCTGTTACAAGCAGCCTGAATCGGACGGTACTGGCCTCTGTAGGGTGTCCTCGCCCAGTCTGGGTGCAGCGACGCTGTCCCGAGTTAACGCGATCCGGTCCCGCCGCCGCCGCCGCCGCCGCCGCCGTCGTCGCCGTCGTCGTCGCCGCCGGCCGCGCCGCTGCTGACCGTGGCTCTGTGTCTGCCGGCAGGTCTGGCTGCGGCGGGCCTGACGGCGGCCGAGGCGGCGGCGCGCGCGGCCGTCCTTCAGCGCTGCCCCCACTGTCCGGCTGTCTTCTCCAGCAAGTCCACCATCAAGGACCACATGGCGCGCGTGCACTTCCCCGTCCCCGTGCAGTGTCCGCTGTGCGGCAAGCGCTGCGCCAACCAGGGCGTGCTGCGCGTGCACCGCAGCCGCGTGCACCGCCAGCGCGGCCGCGCCACGCCGCGCGACGACCCACGGCACGACACGTGATGTCGCCCGACGGCGCGCCACGTGTCGCGCCACGTTAGGTGGCGGCGGGACAGCTGGCTCGCTCCGCTCGGCCGGGCGGCGCGGCCAGGCCTGCAGTGATAAGGCGGTCAGGTGATAGGGAATCTGCTCAATGGGCGGCGCTGCGCAGTGCGCCAGACGGTCGGGGCGGACGCCGTCTGCTGCGCTGACGCTTCTGGGCGCGGCGGACTGCTGCGGCAGGCATTGGCGGCCGGCGCTGAAGGAGCAGGACGATGTGTTTTTGTCGTCCGCGCTGGATGCAACCGGACGGTGTTAAATGAGGATTTGTCATATAGAAATCGGTGGTTGATTTTAGATGCTGGCGGAGGAACGCTGACGGGGCGGATGCCTGTCGTATTTTATACCAATGGAAGTTTATGACCTCGATGCCGACCTCGGGCCGTCGAGGATGTGATGTTAACCTGAGATGATGATATTTTTAATCGGGGATAACTAACCCAAGCCAGGTGATGGCTGTTACCACGCTGTAGGTTTTGTGCAGTACGTAGTTCTGGAATTATACCCAGCCGCGACCTGTGGGCTGTGAAGTGTTCCGCGGTCTGTGACTTGGATGCATATTGTATTCGGTGGAGGACAGCGGTCTATATTTTCGTTACCAGCGACGTTGTCGCGCTCGCTCCAACTGCCATTTACCTTCGGTGCCGAGAAGATTGTCGATGTAGTGTGCGAATGGCACGTTCCAGCGATATTATAGCGCTGACCGAAGTTACCACGCTGAGACTCAAATATACGGCGACAGAGTGGCGTGGCTTTGCAGCCCCGGAGCCGCATGCGATGCGTAGACAGAGAGAGAGAGCCTACGGGGTCTGCGGCGTGCCGTGAAAAGCGGCTCAGATGGCGCCGTCTCGCGCCTGCCTTCCTGCTGCGCTGACCTTCGTCCTTGACCTGACCTGACCTAGTCCGACCCGCCTGGCTGGGCCCGTCGGCGACGCGCGCTCGCTGGCTGGCGTCGCCGGCATGCGAGGCTCAGCGGTCGAATCACGGCCTCTGATGCCGTCCTGGTCTCGTTCCAGGTCGGATGTTGACCTGCCCCCACTGTCCCCACCTCTCCAGCAACTACGGCAAGCTCAAGGCCCACATCGGCAAGGTTCACTTCCCCGTGCCCGTTAGCTGCACCGACTGTGGCAAGGTCTGCAAGAACAAGTACGCCCTGCAGGTGCACAAGAGCAAGTACCACCGACGCAGCTGGAAGCCTCCAACGCCGACGCTGTTTGGTCCAAACCCTTGAGCCAGCCGGCAGCAGTTACCAGTGTCCAATGTTACCAGTTAGCAGTCCCCGCCGCCACCAGTTACCAGCCCCACTCCGTCACCAGCTGCCAGTCCTGCGCCGTCCTCAGTTATCAGTTACCAGTGCCGCCGCTGCCAGTCACCAGTCCCCGCCGCTGCCAGTCACCAGTCCCGCCGTCACCAGTCACCAGTCCCGCCGTCACCAGTCACCGGTCCCGCGCAGTCCCCAGTTACCAGTCCCGCGCAGTCCCCAGTTACCAGTACCGGACCCACACCGCCCCCAATGACCTTCGATGCCGGCACGCCTCACAGTCCCAACTATCATCACCGCCCTAACTCACCAATCCCCGCTATCAACAGTTGTCAGTCTCTGCCGTCACTAGTTACCGATTCCCGTTGTTACCAGTCACCGGTCCCCGTCGTTAGCAGCTACCGGTCCCTACCGTTACTATTTACCAGTCCCACGTAATCAGTAGCTGCCACTTACCTGTCCCACGGCGTCACCAGTTACCAGTCCCACACCGCTAACAGTTACCAGTCACAGTGTCACCACTTACCAGTCGGTTCAAAGATACTCATGGTCCGCTCATCGGCGGCGTGACCCAGCCGATGGCAGGCGAACACAACGCCAGACATTCGCTGGGCGAAGCGGAGCGGCCGTCGGCGCCGGAAGAAGCAGCCACGTCGCATATAGAGCCGTTCTTCGACTCGACCTAGACACTGGGCGATGTAACGGGCCAGGCCACGAAACGCCGCACGGGAGATGATAGTGTTTGATTTTAGGTTATGGGTGCGGCGCGGCTATGAGGAGAACTTGTGTAGTATGAAGTCTGAGCAGCCGCGGTGGAATTTCCTAGTGTTGCGCGCGCCGCCGTGACGTTGGTCGCGCGGGCCATTGATTCTCCGTGCACGGCGGCCATGCTCAACGGTGCGAGTCGCCTTGGCGGTGCCTTCAGTTGTCTTAAGTCGTAATGTCGTGCTGCTCAAGCGTCGCTGTGTTGGTGATGCTTGCGAGTTCGGCTGATAGCTGTTTTGTTCGAGTCTTAGTTGTTTTTTTTTCTTTTGATTTATAATGATGGCTTGGACCAATTATCCGTGTTGGAATGTCGTTCCCGCCCACGATTACTATGTGACTCAATTTGTGTGCATCATGCAAACATTTCCCATGCCTGAGCGCCATTCTGGCTTTTGCGTATGGCGTCAAGGTGAGCTTTATCCTCGGCGTTATGGAAGCATTTCTTTGCAAAACTATTGCTTTCCTTCTTTACACCTGGTTCACAAGCAACGTCTGCTAGCAACAAGGATGTGGGTCAAATACCTCAAAGCTCATTGTTCCATGGAAAACTTCGTTTTCAATGTCAGCACATTGTACTTGGCTTAAGGTAACCAGAGGCAGTTGAGTGCACACTGCTGAAAAGGGTACATATGTTTCAGTCATTTGTGACATGATGTGCACTGACATGTATACACTGCCTCAGTATAACGTGTGCCTGGATGCAACTGAAGTTACCAGCCTTTAGTCATGCCGTGAGACGAATGGTGCTTAGAATAACGTTCAGCTCGACTAACGATGTGATGATGTAGTCAACCATACTCATATCGCGTTCGGGCGGATCCTGCCTCTGATTCCGACTGCGAACAGATTTGTGATACGCTACATGATGAGTCCGTTATGGGATGTGTAATTGTCAGTACCAGTCGTTACCATATTTTAACTCGTGCGGGTAGTCAACAGTGTATTAAGCAGTGCGTATAACACCGTAGCGACACTAGACGCGAGTACGACATGCTCTCTGGCGTACTGTGCATGCCGGCCTCTGCCGTGGCTGGCTACGGAGCGAGTGTGACATGCTCCCTGCCGTGGCTGGCCACGCGGCCCAGCAGGATATTAGCTAGCTGTGGGGCGGCCTCACTCGCCGTGCGCCGCTCCGGCGAGAGTCTTTCCAGAGCCTGCGTGCGCCAATACACGGGCAGGAGGTCGCTCTTTGACTGTTGCCGCGCGGCGGCTCTCGTTCGATCCCTCCCCCCCCCCCCCCGCCCTTCGCCGTCCCGCACTGGACGCTGTTCGTTGCGTAGCGTTGCGATGTGGGACGAGGTGAACCGGAACCGGAAAGTAGGATAACGTTGGAACTAACAAGCACTCCTCACGCTCCCCACACTGCAGCCTGCATGCGAGGCAGGAGGAGGCGCTGCTTCTTGGCAGATGAAAATTTCAGTTCCATTTAAATATTTCCGCTCCTCAGGAAAATTTCGTCTTCGGTGCTGTGGAGCGCATGGTTTGTCATCTTGACAAGATCAGGTTTGTTGCTGATAGTTTACGTAAGGTGCGCGTGATTTTGGTTGCTTTGCTACTTTTCATTTCCGTTCCGCCTGTCATCGCATCGTTACGCGGCGAAAAGTAGCCAGCAGGCTTCTGCCATCCCTTCAGCGGTCATATTTCAGCTTATTCCACTGACGTCATCGACTCCTATATAATCAGACGACTCCTGCGCACCTCCACGTGTAGCTCTCAAACCAACATTAGAAACAGACAATGTCATACAACCACGTAACACAGCGGTAAAATCGTAGATGACTGTGCCTGGTACACAGGGCCTTGGTTGCCAATTTGGGGCGGCCTTGAGCACGGCTCCCGAGCGTGCGATTCAAGGGACCAGGGATGTAGTGATGTGAAGGATGCAGGTGGGAGAGCGTGCGCCTGGTGACCCGGCGCAGGAAGCTGTGTGGTTCGAGCCTGGCTCCCGGCACAGTGTCGTCCCCCACGGCGATGGATATGAGCGGTGTTGGCGCCAGAAGACCGTACTGAGCGTGATCCGTCCGCGCCACTGGTTTATGAGACGCACAGTGTCTGCTGTGGAGTTGGGTGGCATCAATGCACAGTCAGGTGCCGTAACTAAGCTAGGGTATCATGGCTTGTCATTTTTTGCAGATATGGGCCAACGGCCCAAAACCGAAGGCTTGTCGGTCGTTAATGTTTCAGTGTCACGATCGATTGCCGTCTGTCGAATCCAGCTGTTTTTTATGGAACAAATAAGCGTACGTAAACCACGAAGTGGAGAAGATATCATTATTCTCCAAGAGAGTTATGTCATGTCCAGTGACTGCGGGGTTCTGCGAATTCCTCAGGTACGTACCGCATAAGCTCGATCAATTAATGTCTACCACCCATGCTTCAATGTCTGTATGCTTACGTAGAACGCTTTCTGTGGACCCTAGTACCTTCTAGTATCTGTCCTGTTTACTTCTCGCCGTGGAGTGTGTGGGCGCCGACACGGTGTGTCCAGTGCCGCGCCTTTCTCACGAGTTCCCGCAGGCTCCTTCCGCAACGCAGTGCTGGTCGCGTCCGTGCTTCCAGTTCATATCCATACCCCAACCAGTCAACATCCGGGCCTCTGTTTCTCAGGGAACGACGTCTACGTGTCCCCGTTCTGAACATGCGCTCCCGATGACGCTAAAGCCCCCGCGTACTCAGACCGTATGTCGTTGGTTCCACCCGCCTCCTCCTGGCGCCGACACGCGACCCCGCCCCTGTCCCGCCGCCCCTGACCGCACTAATGAGCGCCTCGGTGGCGGCAGTGAGGCTGCTGGCGGCGGCCGACCAGCAGGCGGGCGCCGGCATCACGCTCGCCTCGGGCGTGACGCTCTCCTCGCTGGGCGCGCCGCCCGGCCCGATGGCGGTGGTGGGCTCCGGGCCGCGGCCGCCGGACCGCGCCGACCGGCGCAGCTTCCCCTGCTCCGTCTGCGGCAAGGAGTTCGGCTACCCGCACCACATGCGCCGCCACGTGGAGACGGTGCACACCATGTACCCCAGGTGAGGTGGACACGGGGGGATGCGGGGCAGAACGCGTACACCGTGTACCCCGGGTGAGGTGGACATGGGGTGATGCGGGGCAGACCGCGCACACCATGTACCCCTGGGTGAGGTAGACACGCGGTGATGCGGGGCGGACCGTGCGCACCATGTACCCCTGGGTGGGGTAGACACGGGGTGATGTGGAGCAGACAGTGCACACCATGCATCCCAGGTGAGGTGGACATGGGGTGATGCGCGGCAGACCGTGCACATCATGTACCTCAAGTGAGGTGGACATGTGGTGAGCCGGATGAAACTTTGCACGCCATTTACCAGTGCTGAACCATCGGACAAACTGCATCCTGTACCCAGGAAGGGGTCACTTTCCCACACCGCACAGCCGTAGGCGATGCGCTAAACTGGCGAAAGGTACCATTTTGTAACTTTTGACTCCTTATATACCTTATTTGTATGTTGTGTCTCCTTGTATCCACGGACAGGGATCAGCCACACATTTAGCATAATCTCCAAGTATTCAGATAGTCTGCAAAGTCAGCCATTATCGCTGTGACTTCTTAAGTACTTCATACAAAAGTCAGGCATAAGTATTGTTGGCGATATGCGCCCAATCATTCATTCATTTCGTTTTATCTCAGGATGGCACGGCCTTTTGAGCCACGGCAGGTTCAGAACAAGTCGTACAGTATGTCCACATAATGCGAAAGAAAAGACGATTTGTGCAAAGAGAAAGCTCTTTTGATCACCTAAAAGCTAACAAGTTTCGTCAGGATACCTTCGCACACTATTCCCGGACATCGACCATTAGCCGACCTCTCGGGCCGCACAGGCGTTTTATGTCATTCAACAGGAGCTCAGTAGCAGAGAGGCCGCCTAACATACCGAGTTTAAATGCGGACACTCGGGCGAAGTCCTCCCCCGACGCACCAGTTCCTCTGCCGGAAATATTTGATCTGCATGTGAGTTGTTCACGGTGAGGCAGGCGCAGTGTGACCAATTCAATGTGCGGTGGAGAGTGGTGACGTTTCGATAGCCAGCTGGTCTGAGGCGGGCCGCTTCAAACCCTTTAAGATGCACACATATATGCTATGATATGCCATATAAGGGAAACGTCAGCTGCAGCTTCTCTTTGGCGCCTGTGTCATATTTACACTTAGAGTTTTGAAGCCGGTTGCCCGTATCATGTCCTCGCATGGCGCACAAACATCGCTAATACTGTGTGGCTAACAGGTTTCGGACAAAACAATCGTATAGTTTGGGCCACATGAGTATAAGGATTAGTGTCCACTGTCGACGACACAAACTATGCTATGTCTAGTCCTGCATCCCGTCACTCCTGCCAGCATTACAAGTAATAACATTTTCACGAAATGTTTGCAAGCAACCGCACGCTTGCCAAGCACAAGTTGAAATACGGAATACACTATAGAAACCTCGCTTTCTTCTGCATCTGGCCGAACGGCTAGTGACGCGAGCGATTGATTTCCGGAGTCAGGTCGTCGATTCTGCCACATGTCAAGGACGGGGCTTGAACAACCGACCTGGGCGATACCTTTCCCGCCCGAACTCAGCCACGTAAAAGTCGATGATTCAGTTACGCTGAAAGCCGATTATTTTCAGCGCGAGAACTCCCAACTCATCGTGACGCGTGTCCATGGCGCTGTCAGACTGATGCCTTCTTCTGATATGTGTTTGCAAACAAACGCTAGCCGCTCCCCCCCCCCCCTCCCCACACACACACACAAACGTCGCCATCTTCGGCACAATATATCCGCTCAGGTTATTGGCCAAAATTGGTTATTTCAACTCTTTCATGTTTGAATCATTTTTATTGTAACATTTCAACTATAAAAATTTAAGCAGCCTTTATTCTCGCGCGCGTCGCGCTTGTGTTGATGTTTAACCATATTCGACGTAGGTGTCGGTGTACATGAGCTGCGACATATCGGCCGGTACCGGGGTATGTTGGATCCTTGAAACGGCCCGAGTCGTGACGATAACCCGTGAGTAATGACCAGCGAGCTCATGTCTCACGCTAGTGATGACCTAGATTACCTGAGATGATGCACGGGACATGACGCTAAGCCACCATTGCCTCCCTTGTGTTCGGTGATCCAGTCACGTGTTCTGCCAGTGTACAGCATTCCTCGCTGCTGCTGATGCATAACGCTGCACTCCGTGTTCCAGTTACGTGTTCTGCCCGGAGTGCGGCCGCGTCTACAAGAACAAGAACAGCTTGAGTGTGCACATGTCCATGTACCACAACTCGCAGCGGCGCGCCGCGCAGCGTGAGCAGGCGCTGCAGGCGCAGGCGGCGGCGCAGGCGGCGGCCGGCGCCTGGCAGGCAGACGCGGTACTGGCGGCCGCCCGCCAGGCGTGGCCGACCGAGTAGAGCCGGCCGGGCGCCGCGTTGGTCGCCGCGGCGGATGAGGCGGCGCATGTGGGCACTGGTCCGCGTCCGGGGCGTCCCGGGTGCGATGGCTGAGTCCTTAAGCAGCCACTCAATGCTCGGGGCGCCGCCGAGCGCAGTGGGGGAGACTGGGTCGCGCGGCGGTCCGCTGTCCGGAGACGGTAGGGGCATGGTGGTGGGGCACGAGACGCCCCGCGGCCACGCGAGGTACGCAGTGCCGCCGACCCGCCCGTATCGAGGCGAGCCGGCGTCGCTGCCAGGCGGGCGGCGCCCAGTGACTGTGCCAAAGGCGTGGAGGTGTGGCGCGTTGCTCCAGCTACCCCTGGCGTCGGCCGCCGCGCCCAGGACATGGCGACGCGCGCCTCCGCAGTTCCTACCGGGCGCTGTGTGCGCCCGTGGTCCGTGCGAAGGACGTTTTGTACCGCGCTTGTTTGACCGGTTGAAAGCTCGGCGCAGCTCGGGGGGTCGCCTGTGCTGTAGCCGTAGCCGTAGTTGTAGCCGGCTCACCACATGTGACGAGCGGCGTTTTGAACACGTACAGTATTATGCATTGTGATAACTGGCGTATGCACATTTTTGATTCCAGTGCAGTTTCTGTTTCTGCTGTGTTGCTGCATTGTTAAATGTTTTGTCTCTTGATATGACCCTCAGTTCTCTCTCTCTCTCTCTCTCTCTCTCTCTCTCTCTCTCTCTCTCTCTCTCTCTCTCTCTCTCTCTCTCTCTCTCTCTCTCTCTCTCTCTCTCTCTCTCTCTCTCTCTCTCTCTCTCCCTCTCTCTCTCTCTCCTCTCTCTCTCTCTCTCTCTCTCTCTCTCTCTCTCTCTCTCTCTCTCTCTCTCTCTCTCCTCTCTCTCTCTCTCTCTCTCTCTCTCTCTCTCTCTCTCTCTCTCTCTCTCTCTCTCTCTCTCTCTCTCTCTCTCTTCTCTCTCTCTCCTCTCTCTCTCTCTCTCTCTCTCTCTCTCTCTCTCTCTCTCTCTCTCTCTCTCTCTCTCTCTCTCTCTCTCTCTCTCTCTCTCTCTCTCTCCTCTCTCTCTCTCTCTCTCTCTCTCTCTCTCTCTCTCTCTCTCTCTCTCTCTCTCTCTCTCTCTCTCTCTCTCTCTCTCTCTCTCTCTCTCTCTCTCTCTCTCTCTCTCTCTCTCTCTCTCTCTCTCTCTCTCTCTCTCTCTCTCTCTCTCTCTCTCTCTCTCTCTCTCTCTCTCTCTCTCTCTCTCTCTCTCTCTCTCTCTCTCTCTCTCCTCTCTCTCTCTCTCTCTCCTCTCTCTCTCTCTCCTCTCTCTCTCTCTCTCTCTTCTCTCTCTCTCTCTCTCTCTCTCTCTCTCTCTCTCTCTCTCTCTCTCTCTGCATCTCTCTCTCTCTCTCTCTCTCTCCTCTCTCTCTCTCTCTCTCTACTCTCTCTCTCTCTCTCTCTCTCTCTCTTCCTCTCTCTCTCT